GAAAGGGCTCAGAAACAGGGCAAAAGACAAAAGCCAACAGGAAGGGGCAGCAAACAGGGAAGCAAGGGAGTCAAGAACAAGAAAACACCGGGACATGAGGGATAAACACAGTGCATGCACCCAAACTAGTGATGATTTCTTCACATGCTTTTAAAGCTTATACACACCTGTGGGCAGCAGCCACCCCCTAATCTTCATAAACCAGAACAAACACAAAGAGCCTGACAGGGTGCTATTTCAGAATATCTCATAGTTTTAAAGCCAAACTTTGACTTGGCTGACTTATGAATTTGCAGTCTCACTCAAGACTTTTTAACAGGCCGCAATGGCAGAACTTACTCATGGCAGCCAGTATTCACGCTCAAAAGCCCACTCAGAAACATAGGACTCTCTCACTGCTTAGAGGATGCCCCTGACTCTCAAATTCCTGAAGAGCTGTCATTCTGGCTTCACCCCATCATTCTTGTTTCCTTCACACACAGCCTCCCCATCCCTCCCCTCAATCTCCTGCCCTCCCAAGACCCTCTGTCTCAGTGCCCACCTGCCTCCGACAATCTCTCTCCGTAGTTTGGTACTATCCCACGGCCTTCTTCCTGCCCCCTTCTAGTCTCTGCTCCCCACAGTCCCAGTGCTGTAAACTCTTGTGAATCAGCCAGGGTAGGAGCTGGCTTAGCAATAAACTGTGAAGCATCAGTTCTCTACCAAATTTCAGCTCTGCCCTAAGGGACTGCCCACTCTGAACCACTGTCATCCCTACTGCGCCACCTCCTTAGGAAGAGCAGCCAATAAATAACAGCTCCTGCAGAACACAGGCAGAGTCCTCTCTCACACCTCAATGGCCAAAGTGTTTTTGGCTGGCTACACTGGGAGGGAGAGGAGCACAAAGAGACCAGCTGCCCTGGATGGTTCCACTACTCCCTCCTTCACATCAAGAAGTCAGTCTGCTCTCCAAACCTCTGGCCATCCCTGGAGCACCAGACCTTGGAAGGGAAGGCAGAGAAGAGCCCCTGGAGCCATGCCCCAGCTCCAGGACAGGGGGCAACCTGCTGAAGCTACACAAGCAAGTGGGACACAGAATAGAGCTGCTATGGGGACTACTGCTGGCCCAGCTGCAGCTCTGCCCCTTTCTAGTCTCCTGGAGTGAATTTCCATGGGTGCCAGGCCTCTAGCCTTTGCCTCTCCTAGGGTGGAATTGCACAGTTCTCCCATGCCTTGACCCAGTCCTGCACTACCACATTCTGGGCTTCTACAGTTTTGCAGGTCCAACTGGATTCAGCACCTGCAAGTCTTCCATTTGGGAATCTGCAGGTAAAGTGAACACTGTCACCAGACAGCCTAGTGGTGGTCAACAGAATAATATGTTCACTTAGCTTGAGAAACAAAGTATGGAAAAATAGAGAGGATTTTAGCACAGCCATAGTCAACATATAGGTTGTCCTTCCATGAGGCTTGTCAGATTTCAGCTGAGGCCCAAGGAAGGTATCACTTCTCCAGTCACTCCAACTCCAAGAGTCTAGGTATCACAGCTTCCTTACCCAGGGACTTTCTGTTTGACAGAGTATCTCTTATAAATTTAGTCAGGGGCTCGGTTCTTTTGTGCTTCCAAGCTGGTGCCCAATCTTAAAAAGCTAGTGCTGTGACATCAGTGAAGATCTGAAGAGGAAACAGGTTTTGCATTGTCTCATGTCAGTGGATGGTGGCCATCTTCATTGGCTGTACTGCTTCCTGCCTTTTTTCCTCATTGACTTGCTCTTAAACTGAACCAAAATACCAAAAAATAAACATTGCAGTGACCAGGACAAAAGAATAATCGAATTACTGAGCAGCTCTTCTGCAGGGGGTAGAAATGATGTTTAGGAAAAGGCAGGTGTTTGTGGGGGAAACAATCATTTAGAGTTTGGCTTCGGGTAAAGCTGGGATGATTCCACCATCAGGTAACCTGTGAGACCTTTTGTAGCTGGGGTGCACTGCAAATATATACTTAATACATTTTGGAGAGCTGACAACATTAATTGTCTCACACACACCACATGTGCACAAGGGACACAGACCAAAATCTTTTTTTCCAAAAGTGTCCTGATCTCTGGGAAGGGCCTAACTCATGATTGCCTAGCTTGCAAAAAATGCAGCTGCAAAAGAGGTGGGAGAACAAAAAGCTGAGCCCCAGCTGGCTTTGATGTTACTCCCAGGTCCCCAGACCCAGGACTGTACATGGAGAACACCCTTCCAGGAGCACCAGAGCCCATTTTGTTGGATCCCTGCCCTCACCAGAAAAAGAAACATTGGGAGTAGCTCCCAGCAACTGAGTAAAAAGGAGCAGCTGCAATAGCCATCAGTAAAAGTGAGGGGATATTTGATACAGACCCTGGTGTTAGCATCCTCATGGTGCTATTTACACTTTCAGACAGGGTATATCAAGTCAAACACAGACCCTTTCCAAAATCCTGAAAACTGCTTTCAAATGAAAAATAAATGCACTTTTGGGCCACAATGCCAGTAGAGGTTGCAGTGACCAAATACTGGTAACTCCTAAGAAACAGGTGTCATAAACTCCGCCCCCCCCCCCAACCTGTTTTATTGCAATCATGCAAATCTTCAAATACAACTGTACCTAGGAATTCATGCTCCTAGCTACCAGCCCTCCCTCCTTGGTAGAACTAGTGTCAAACACTTTGAATCAATACATAGCAGAGAGTTTTTAAAATGGCAAGTCACACTGGGGTACTGTTGGCCAGCAGGATTGAGAGCATACAATTTCCACCAATGCCATCATCCTAGATAAACACCGTAGAAGCAGCGCCACTCCCTCAGGGTCCAGTCAGCCACGGCTTGCAGCAGCACACTGGATTCTGTACTGCAATACATCTCCCCATTCATAAATACAGGTGTGTGGGATGCAGGATGGTGGGGACTTCCTGGGTCACAGAATCCAGTTTCTGCTATGGCACCACATCCTATATATATAATAGCACATTTAAAGATTTGCACCTTAAAATATAGCCTACTGTACCTATTCATCAGACCAACACCCTACAGTACCTAATCATCTAATCAGCTTTACACCAGCATAACCAAGTACTGAAGAAAGAATGCAAATCCCTAAACCAATCCAGTGGAGAATTTCTTCTGGAAAAATCAGGGTGAAAATCAACAAGGGGTAATTTACTCTGGTAATTCTTCATCTGTTCATCTCCATCCCAGGATAGGCACTTGCTAAATGTAGAAAGGTTATGACTTGCTTCCCCATCTCCCCCCACAACCCCAAGGGGAGGGGAGCTCAGGAAGAGTGGTTACTCCTCAAGGGAATGCTCCTTGATGCACAAGCTAATGCTATTCTGTCTTGGAGGAAAGGCAGCAAAAGAGCACAGCAGCCCCCTTGGCTCTCCATGGAACTAGCGAACCTCCTGCGGCTAAAAAGAAAGGCCTACAAAGGATGGAGGATGGGATCCACCTCCAAGGAGGAATATTTCGCACTGGTCCGGACCTGCAGGGAGCAAAGCAGGATAGCCAAGGCTGCAACAGAACTCCAGCTAGCTACAAGTACCAAGGACAATAAAACGTCCTGTTTTAGATATGTGGGGAGCCGGAGGAAAAGCAAGGGCAACATTGGACCCCTGTTAAACCAGATGGGACAACTGACAACCGATGCCCAGGAATAAGCCAACCTATTAAATGGGTACTTTGCGTCGGTCTCTCATCAGTCCCATGGGACGCCCCTACCCACTACGGGACAGGGGGGCCTGGGTAAAGGAGGCCTGGATGAGGGAGATTCCCTGACCTCCATCAGTGCTGACCTCATGAAGGAACATCTTGAGCAGCTAGACACCTTCAAGTCAGCTGGCCCTGACAATCTGCACCCCAGGGTACTCAAGGAGCTGGCTAGCATTGTAGCCCAGCCCCTGGCATGAATTTTCAAGAACTCCTGGTGCTCTGGTGAAGTGCCCAAAGATTAGAAGAAGCCAATGTGGTGCCTATCTTCAAGAAAGGGAGGAAAGTGGATCTGGCAAACTACAGGCCCATCAGCCTGACCTCTATCCCAGGGAAGGTCTTAGAAAAGATTATTAAAGAGACCATTCTTAACAGACTGGCCGATGGCAGCATCCTGAGGGATAGCCAGCACAGGTTTGTTGCGGGTAGGTCTTGCCTGACCAATCTTATTTCCCTTTATGACCAGATGACCTATCACCTGGACAAGGGAGAGAAGATTGACATCATATATCTTGACTTCAAAAAAGCCTTCGATCTGGTATCCCTGATCACCTCTAGACAAAACTGGCCAACTGCAGCCTTGGGTCCACCACAATCCTCTGGCTGGGGAACTGGCTCCGTGGTCAGGCCCAGAGGGTGATGGTTGACGGAAGTCAATCTTCATGGTGCCCTGTGACCAGTGGGGTCCCCCAAGCCTCTGTCCTTGGACCTATATTGTTCAACATCTTCATTAACAATGTGGACATTGGGGTCAGAAGTGGACTGGTCAAGTTCGCCAATGATACCAAACTCTGGGGTAAAGCATCCATACCTGAGGACAGGAGGGTGATCCAGGCTGACCTTGACAGGCTCAAGAAATGGGCGGACGAGAACCTGATGGTGTTTAACACTGAAAAATGCAAGGTTCTCCACCTTGGGAGGAAAAACCTGCAGCATCCTTATAGGCTCGGCAGTGCTACGCTGGTTAGCACTATGAATGAAAGGGACTTGGGGGTCATGATTGACCACAAGATGAATATGAGCCTTCAATGTGATGCTGCGGCCAGTAAAGCAACCAAAACGCTTGCTTGCATCCATAGATGCTTCTCAAGCAAATCCCAGGACATCATTCTCCCATTGTACTCGGCCTTGGTGAGGCCACAGCTAGAGTACTGCATCCAGTTTTGGGCTCCACAATTCAAAAAGGATGTGGAGAAGCTTGAGAGATGTGGAGCTTGAGCTTGAGTCCAGAGAAGAGCCAGGAGCATGATCAGAGGTCAGGAAAACAGACTTTACGCTGACAGGCTGAGAGCTATGGGACTCTTTAGCCAGGAAAAGCACAGGCTCAGGGGTGATCTGATGGCCACCTATAAGTTTATCAGGGGTGTTCACCAGGATCTGGGGGAATGAGTGCTCACCAGAGCGCCCCAAGGGATGACAAGGTCGAACGGTTATAAACTCCTGCAAGACCGTTTCAGGCTGGACATAAGGAGAAACTTCTTTACTGTCTGAGTCCCAAAGGCCTGAAATAGACTCTCCCCTAGAGGTGGTGCAAGCACATACTCTGGATACTTTTAAGAAACATTTGGATGCTTATTTTGATGGGATCCTTTGACCCTAGCTGACTTCCTGCCCTTTGGGCAGGGGGCTGGACCTGATAATCTTCTGAGGTCCCTTCCAGCCCTAATGTCTCTGAAACTTCCTCGATGCATCCTTCCCTCCTGGGACCATGGCCTGTAACCGGGAGCACAGAGGGCCCCCAACCCCTTGAGCCCAGCCCCCAGAGTCCTGGTGACTTCAGTCATAGAATAATAAAGTAGCAGGGCTGGAAGTCACCTTCAGAGGTCATCTAGTCCAACCTGCTGCCTGAGACAGGAACATTTCTATCCAAACCATCCCATACAAATCAAAATCTAAACTCTACACAAGTCTATGATCAACCTTGACACAACACAGATCTAATACCTTAACCTGCTACAGGCAAAGCTGGTGGACCACAGCAGCGACTGTCCTGCTTCTATGAAATGTTGTCAATACACGCACAAGAGATCTGGGGTAGAGGCCTGTCCCCCCCTCTACAGAGGAAGGCAAAACCCCCACAGACTGAACCAATCTGATCTTGGGGTACAATTCCTTCCTGATCCCAAATATGGCAACAGGTGAAACCCTGAGAGGAGGGGCAAGACCCCTAGCCAGGAGCCTCTGGCTTTGGTCCAGCGGAAACATTGGCACAGCCCAAAGTCTCCAGCCTTTGCAGCTAACTCAGCTCCTCCGAGGGAGGTTTTTAAACGCCCCAGCACATGTAGAAGAAAGTGGGGCGGGGGCAGGGGCCAGCAGCAAAGCCCAGAAGCCGGGGAAGTCCCTGGCCTAGATCGGGCGGGCGAGGGCTGCGCGGGCTCCCCACGAGCACCGCCAGTGAGGGGGCGCCACAGCTTCCCCAGGCGTCTGCAGCTGCCGGCGCGGCGATGCTGCTCGGCGGGCAGCTCCGTTTCTCCACCCCCAGCCCGCAGTGGCAAGCGGAGAGGCTGCCCGGGGCAGGCGCGGGAGGAGCGGCTC